GCTCACAGGCCCCTCCCCAGACACAGAACTGAGTTCTGCAGGAGCACCTCGTTTAGAACCAGGAAGGCCACATGGGCCCGGGAGGGGGCAGGCAGCCGTGACCCTGCCTGGCCTACGGCTCCCACCTGTCACCCCGAACACGGTCTATGGGCTCAGGGTCCCCACCCAGCCTGGGAGTCCCCAGGATCCCCAAAGGGTGACACAGAACTCTGGGTTTCTAGAGGTAAAGCATGACTCAACCCAGAGGCCACGGATGTCTGCTTAGAGGAGCATCTGGTCTTTTTAAAGTGAGCTGTAATTCACATACCATAAAACTCACCTTTACACACACAACCCGACGGGCCTTAGTATGGTTCAGAGTCATGTACCCTCACCACCATCTAATCCCAGAACATCAAACTCAAAGAGCAAAACACAGAACACACGACCCAGCACATTCACCCCGAGATGTCCAAGAGCACAGAAAATAAGCACCCAGGGCTGGGGTTGTGGCTCAGCCGTAGAGCGCTCGCCTAGCACGGGCAGGACCCAGGTCCGATCCTCAGCACCACATAAAAATAAAGGCATTGTGTCCATCTACACCTAAAAAATAAATAAATGTTAAAAAAAAAAAAAAGAAAAAGAAAAAGAAAATAAGCCCCCAGTCGAGTTGGGCTGGGGATGTAGCTCAGTTGGTAGAGCGCTCGCATGCACAAGGCCCTGGGTTCATTCCCCAGCACCACAAAAATAATAATAATAATAATAATAATAATAATAATAATAATAATAAGCACCCAGATACTACCATGTGATGCCATAGCGGCCAAACACCTACTTTGAACAGCCCAAAAGTAGAAATACGCCAATATCCAGCAACTGATCAAAAAATGAACAAACTGGGATCTATCCACACAACGGGCAGTTAAGGTCCACCAAAAGGAGCCAGGTCCTGGTACCCTGTGGCTGGACCTTGAAAACACTATGCTAAGTGAAAAGAGCCACATAAGAGCCAGCCACAGGGGCACATATCTATAATCCCAGCAGCTTGGGAGGCTGAGGCAGAAGGATCTCAAGTTTGAGGCCAGCCTCAGGAACTTAGCAGGGCCATAAGAAACTTTGCAAGACCCTGTCTCTAAATAAAATATGAACAAGGGCTGGGGATGTGGCTCAGTGGTTAAGCACCCCTGAATTCGATCCCCGGTACCAATAAGAGGAAAATAAAATAAAAATGCTTCACTGTACCTTGTATGGGTTTCCAAAACCAAAAGGTAATGAGACAGTCCTTGGCCACCACCATGGCACCTCACGCACCTGCACTGCTGAGTGGTGAGGGCCGAGTCTGCTCCTGTGTTTACCATCCAGCTCCTTCTCCATGAAGGCCACATGACACCATCGCATCCAGCACAAAGAAAGGTGGTGGTTCAAATCAGAAAAGAGCGGGCGGGGAGGGGAATCGGGCCACCTCATCCCCAAGGAGCCTGGATGTGGCCACTTCAAAGGGCAGCCTCCCAGCCGTCAGGGCCGCATTCGTGTTGAGAACTGGGCAGGGTCCACCTCTGTGTCAAACTCCTGACTCCCACAAGAAGTGGGTTTAAGAGCTTCCCGGATTTCAACAGTGCCACTATGCTGCCCGTATCTGCAAACCAGCCACACGGCTTCCAGGTTCCCAGTGAAGCCCGTTAGACGGACACCGGGGACTCCACACGGGCAGCCTGGGCTCAACCATGAGATCCAATGACCCCGGGTCACCCAGTCAGCCCAACAGGGTCAACACTCCTGTGCAGTGGGCAGAGGAAGCAGAGGCAGGGGCAGGAGAGGCCCTGGGGCAGGAGAGGTCAGGGGCAGGAGAGGCCCAGGGGCAGGAGAGGCCCAGGGGCAGGAGAGGCCCAGAGGTCGGGTCCTCTGATACCAGCCCAACACGGCCAGTCAGCTCAGGCACGGTCCCTCCAATGACACCAGCACTATTCACTGGAGATCAGCTGACTTTCTAGTATTTCATCATGTTTTGATTTTGCTGGTTTTTGCAAGGTGGGGGGGTGGGCCCCAGGCCCCTGCATGCTAGGCAAGCGCTCTAACGCTGAGCTCGCCCCCAGCCCCCTCGGGTATTACAGTGACACAAAAACTGTGAGTCTAAGGCATCTACACTAGTCTTCTACCTATTTAGCTTATATTCCAATATAAATAATGTAAATCAATGAGTTAGGGTCCCCCTGTTTAAAAGGGGATCCACAAAAAACACACACACACACACACACACACACACACACACGCTGCATTTATATAAAATGTGGAAACTGTGCAAACCTATAAAGACAGAAAGCAGACTGGTGGGCTTGGGGGGGGGCTTTTCTCCCAGGGAGTTTTCTTCCTCTTCCACCTCCTCCTATAAGGTCCCTGAGCCCAAGGTGAGACCCTAAGTTACAAGACGACCCCACCCTGGGTGAGCAGAGGACTGCCCTGGAATGTCACAACACAGGATTCCTATCTCCTGGTCTCCGTTCATACAACGGTACTAAGAGACACTACTTTGAATTATTACATTTGGAAAAACCATGAAAACAAGCAATGTCAGGAGTGGCAGGAAATGGGTTTCGCTTATACACCATGAAATGTCAGAGAATATGCATGACAATGTCAGTTCAGAGTCTGGCCCTGACTGGCTGGGGAGGGAGCCTAAAAATCTAACACGGTGGTGCATGCCTGTAACCCCAGCAGCCCTGGAGGCTGAGGCAGGAGACTCGAGAGAGTTCAAAGCCAGCCTCAGCCACTTAGCAAGGTCCTATGCAACTCAGTGAGACCCTGTCTCAAAATAAAATATAAAACACGTCTGAGGATGTGGCTCAGTGATTAAGTGCCCCTGGGTTCAATCCCCGGTACCAAAAAAAACAGTGTTTTAAAAACAAACAAAAAAAATCTCAGCACAGCCAGGTCCCTTCCTCCAAAAGCCCCAGACAGGCCAGCCCTCTGCCGTCCACAGGCCAGGCAGGACTCTCCAGGAGGCCGGCGGCACCACCAGTAAGGGACTGGCAATGCAAGGATTCTCCAGGCTTCAGAGGGCGTGCAGCACGGTACTCTTTTGCCCTTGCACAGGGCAGTCCCAAGACTCCTAACAAATCGCTCTCTCCTGGGGCCTAATTCCTGTGTCACTTCACAGAGACAGGAAGAGGAAGCCCCTGCAGCTGGCTGCTGCCTGGGGTCAGTGGATACACCAACAGACCCCTAGCCACACATTCACCAGCCCCCACCTGTAGGGGCTCCAAAGTCCAGGAGCTCCTGCAGCAGACTCTGCCCTGAGGGTGGGGAGGGAGCCCCACAAACACGGACACCACGCCCCTCAGGGTCTTCCAGGCCTGCCAATCAGAGTCCTGGGGCTCCGATGGAGGGCCACCCGGAGTGGGGTCAATACCCAGAAATACCAGAAAGGACAGGTGGATGCCTTCTGTTCCAATGTCTCCTCCCTGAGAAGCCTGCTCTACTGACTAACCACCTCCAGGAGGCTTCATCCTCCTCCCCCAAAGCCTATGGAGCCAAGGCTTGGGGCGGGGGAGCTGGACACCTGACCACATGCCCTCTGCACCCCGAGCATGGAGAAGCAGCCCCCAGCATGTGGGTGCAGACCTCCAATGGCAGGGCGGGGGTCACTCCCCAAGACAACGGCCAAATGAAAAGAGCAGGTTCCACAGCCAAACCCTGTGTGACCTCATGTACACGCTAAAACCAAAAATCGCACAGATTCATGCAGAGGTACAGGAAAAAAATACCAAGGGCTACTGGACAGACTGCTGACGGCATGTCCTCTGGGAGAAGAGGGCAGAGAGAAGAGGGCAGAGAAGGAGTCTCACATTTTACTTTTGTCTTCCTGAAGCTGCAACTTGAATCTTTTATAAAGACAATTATTCTACAGTTTTAACATAATAATTCCACACACTGGAAAACTACTCAGCAATTAGAAAGTGGATGGAGAAACAAACAGGCAGCAATGTGGACATACTAAATGCCACCAAACTGTACACTTTAAAATAGTTACTTTTGGGCTGGGATGTGGCTCAAGCGGTAGCGCACTCGCTTGGCGTGCGTGCAGCCTGGGTTCGATCCTCAGCACCACATACAAACAAAGATGTTGTGTCTGCTGAGAACTAAGAAATAAATATTTTTTAAAAAATAAATAAATAAATAAATAAAATAGTTACTTTTGCCAGGTGTGGTGGTGCACGTCTGTAATCCCAGCTACTTGGGAGGCTGAAGCAGGAGGATTACCAAGTTCAAGGCCAGCCTCAGTCTCAGTAACTTAAACCTTGACCCAAATTTTAAATTCTTTTAAAAAGTGAGGCGGGGGGAGGGCTGGGGATGTGGCTCAAGTGGTAGCGCGCTCGCCTGGCATGCGTGCGGCCCGGGTTCAATCCTCAGCACCACATACAAACAAAGATGTTGTGTCTGCCGAAAACTAAAAAATAAATAAATAAATATTTTTTTTAAAAAGTGAGGGGGGGTGAAGGGTGGTGCCTGGCATGTTGCTTAGTAGTAGAGCACCCCTGGGTTCAACCCCCAATACCACCAAAAAAATAATATGTAAAATAAAACGGCTAATTTTATGTTAGGCAAATTTTACCCTGATTTAAAAAAAAAAAAATCAGGCAGGCAGGGAAAAATTATTGTGCCCATTTTGCAGATGAGAAAATTGGGTTCAGAGCAGGCAGTCAACTGCCAGACCAAGGCTTCACCCAACGGCTCAGGCCACGCTCAGAGTCTCATAGAGATCTGCTCCCGAGGGATCTGCAACTCCAGGGCAAGCTCCAGGGGGGGTCCTTCTCTCTGGGGCTACTGCAATCCACCGCTTCCCAGCAGGCCTTGGAGTAACCGGGCAGAGCCTCCTGCAGGGGCCTCCAAAGTCCAAGAGCTCCTGCTGGAGACTCTGCCCTGAGGGTGGGGAGGGAGCCCACCCCCCTCAGGGTCTCCCAGGCCTGCCAATCAGAGTCCTGGGGCTCCGATGGAGGGCCACCCACGGTGGGGTCAATACCAACCTCTGGGGTCCTAGGATAAAGGGTGACGTCACCACAGGGTGGCCATCAGGATATATCCACTCTTTGGGACAGCAGGAGAGGAGTTACTTCCTTCACAAGGTTCTCCAGTTCCAGGAAAAGAAACAGAGGAAGATAAGTTTCCCTCCATGTTTTCCAAACACAATCTTCCAGAATGCTCAAGGGTCCTCCACTCTGGGACAAGGCAGCGGGACACACAGCCTTCAGGTGGACAGGGCCTGCGGCTCAGCAGGATGCAGAGGCTGGCAGGATCCCAGGTTACCTGAGGACACCAACCCCTCTCCCCCAGCAGGGCCGCGCCTTGCAGTCTCTTGGCCTCAAGGCCATTTCCAGGGGGACCCAAAGCCCTCCCACAGCCCTCCCAGCAATGCACCTCCCTCCTCCCTCCTCCCTCCTCCTGAAAGCCCAGTTCCCAGGAGTCCAGGGACTTCTGCAGTAACACAGCCTGTTCCCGAAGTCCCAGGAGTCTGCAAAGGTGAGGGGGGACCTCCCTGCAGAGAGCTCATGGGGCAGAGCGGGACAAGCCCAGGCTGTTCATGGATTTCCTACAACTGGAATAGGAACGGCTACAGCTCAGCTCTGAGGTGTGCCAGCCTGGGCCGGGGCACTCTGACGAGAGTCACAAGGCATCTGGGTTCACTGCACGCACAGGTCCTGGAACGTCAGGTTACGGCCAGTCCACGTGCAGACTGCAGGCCCCCGTTCCAAGCCTCCACGAGACATCACCCTTGGCACGCAGGTCCCTTCCCCAAGGCCAACACAGGCATAGGCAGCAGGGACACCAGCACACGGGGCAGCAGCAGGGTGTGACATAAGGTTGGCATGCGGGGAGCTCACCTCTGTGAGGGGAGAGGGGTGAACCCAGGGTCAGGGACCCCAAATCTAGATGCCATCCAGGCCCCTTCCCCCACATGGCACCACACACGTAGTCCTGTCCCTCGGGTGTCACAGGTCTCTCCTCTGCTGAGAAAACATTCCTCACGCCAATATCGGCAGCACCTAGGGCTGGGGGTGTCGCTCAGTAGTAGAGCTCTTTCCAAGCATGCGTGCGTCAGTCCCTGAGTTCAACTTCCAGTACCACCCAAATACCACCAATAACCACAGCACCCACTGTCACGCCTAACGTCTAATGAGCACACCCTGCGCCAAGTAACCCAGGCCTCTCGGCGCACTACCTCCTTTCACCCTTGCCACATTCCTCTAAGGGAATTCTCATCAGGCACAGAGAGGTTGTTTGCCACCCGGGGCCACACAGCTAGTGAGGGAAGGTGAAGGACTCCAGACCCTGGTGGTCAGCCAATGCTCTTAGGTCACTACAGGTCTCTCAAAGGTAGAAGATGGGGAGGGGACGCAGCTGTCACAAGTTCCGAGTGCTTCCTTGGACTACATCCCCACAGCCACAGGCCTAGGGAGGGAAACAGCCCTCTCCCAGGCTGTCTGCAGCTCCCAGGCCCACCCCTGTGCCGTGTGCCAAGTGCCCAGCTTTAGGAGGCCTAGAAGGCCAGTCTGAAGCCCCTGGCCTAGACCGGGAGAGGCAGGAGAGGCACAGGAGAGGCACAGCTGCCCGCTGGGAGCTCAGAGGCATGATTTGGGGCTATTCTTAGCGCACCACTGGCTCCTCTCCCGGAGGCCCAGCAGGCGGCAGGCCCAAGCTTCCCCACGCCCGGCCTGCCATTTCCTGACCCTACGTGGAGGTCCCCCTGGGCCAAGGAGGGGCTGGTGGGCCCAGAGAGAGGACAAAGCACACCAGCTTTCAAATGAGAAGTCCACACAGCTGCCAGCCCACCCCAGGCCTGGGCCAAGTCCCCTGGGCCATGCATCTGGCTACCAAGGAAGCCCAGGGGAGGCTACATTCAACACCCCACCCCGTGATGACTGGGCACCGCAGGCTTTCCACCCTCCAACATCCCCCCACCCCTGGGGCGTTACTGGTCCCCCTGTAAAGACAGACAACTAAGGCCTTCAGTGATTTGTCGAAGGTCACACACGGAGTTAATCTCAAACCCAGCGAGCGCCCAGGGTGGACAAAGACACTCAGCTGCCAGGTTAGACCGAGGAGACAGTCTAGAGGTTAGACCAGCCAGGGGTAGGGGTCTGTCCTCGCCCAGGGTTGGGGGAGGAGCCCATGCGGGGCGGGGGCAGGCAGTGGCCCTCATCACTGACCTGCAAGCTTGGTTTCAGGAGGAGAACCCCACAGTCAGGTTCCTCCTTATCCTGGGGGAGCAAAGAACCGTTGAAGCCGCTCACCCAGGCCAGGCAGCCACACTCAGGAAGCTCCCAGAGGCCCAGGGAAGACGGGAACCAAAGGCTCAAGGAGGCTGGCGCAGTGGTACATCCTGGAATCCTAGCAACTCCGGAGGCCGAAGCAGGAGGACCTCAAGTTCAAAGCCAGCCTCACAACTTAGCAAGACCCTACGTAACTTAGTGAGACCCTGTCTCCAAATAGAACATAAAAGAGGGCTGGGGATGTGGCTCCAGGGTTGAGTGCCCCTGGGTCCGATACCTGGTACTAAAAAATAAATAAATAATGATTCAGGGCTGGGGTGTGGCTCGGTGGTGCAGTGCTTGCCTAGCCCGCGTGAGGCACTGGGTTCGAGCCTCAGCACCACATAGAAATAAATAAAGGTCTATCAACAACTAAAAACAAATAAATAAAATAAAGGCATTCTGTCCATCTGCAACTAAAAATATTCTTTAATAAGTAAATAAAGGTTCAAGGAGGTGCTGCAGGTGCCCCTGGCACAGACCCTGCCTTTAGGGAGTGGGAGGTCAACTGTGGATCACAGTAAAATAGGAAACGGAGCTTTTAGGGTCCTCAAACCCCAAAGTGGGAATTTAGAAAGGAAACCACACCACAGAGCGCCGCTGTCAGACCTTGGTCTGCGCTGTCAAGGGCCACCCCTAAAGGCCCACGGCTGACTCTACATCAGCCAAGGTACTCAAGCCCCGTGTATGTGCCCCTGGGTCCTGTATCTGCAAATGTCAGCTCACATCCACGTGCTCTGCTAGGCCCACCTACTTGTCTGCTTCCCATACAGGTAGGTTCAAATCCCCGCAAAGACGGACAGGCAGCGTCTGTGTCCCTGGGTCGCTTGCTCATCCCACAGTCGTCCTGGCCTGTTCACGTGTCCACTTCCTGTTTCTGAACCTGGGCATGCACACACGTCCCATGCCCACACAGGCGTCCCCACCTGTGCCTGGGAGACCCAGGTCTGTGTATGCCACCTGTTGGAGGTGGGTGGGTATGTTCACTAAGTTACCACAGTGCTGGCCAAAGGCGTAGGGTGAGCTCAGCAATCCCCGTTCCCAGAACAGCACCGGAGGCTGGGCACACACACTACCATCTCGGCAGAGTGTTCCAGAAAAGCAGATACCTGCCAGGGATGATGAGGGGGTGCAGAACCCTAGAGACAGCAGAACCTCACAAGAGGGAGGGCAGAGTTGCCCCAGCCCCCATCCGCCACCATGCCAACACCAAGGAAGGAGAGCACCACAGACACACCGTGACCCGGGGCCTGTCTGCACTCACCGGAAACCCAGTCTGGCCCAGAGCCTCCCAGCCTCCCAATCTCCCCAGCCCCCAGCAAAGGAGGCTTTTCAGAAAGGAAGTGAGGGCTTCCTCCCATGTACCTCTGAACCTCTCCCAGGGCTGGCTCTAACCCCAAACCTCAGGAGCCCCAGGGCAGCTGTGAGAGTCCTGTGCCCAGCCTGACCAGAGAAACCAAATGGGTTTCTAGACCCCAAAACAAAATCTGGGAATGAGGGTGGGGCATAAACAGACAGAAGGATCTCCCGGACCCTCCCCCTGCTCCCTGTCCAGGCAAGAGTCCTGATCACCAGCAGGTAATCAGGAGGGGAGTCTGTCCTGGGAACTCCAAGGCACATCTGCATTGGCTGCATGAGAAAAGCCATCACCCTAGTGACCCTGCAGCTGAAATCACTCCCCTAGCCATTACCAGTGTGGGGCTTCTGGGCATTTCCACTGTTACTGGTCCAGGACAGGTATCCTTCTGTGTACGGTGACTAGACTACCCAGACCCTCCCACCACCTACGGCCTCCCCAGCATAGCCCAGAGCCTGGCACCTAACAGGTGCTGGGTCACGGGGTTCCGGTTGTTCTGCAGAGAGCCCAGGAGATGGTACCTGGACCTCTGGTTGGGACAGCAGAGATGCCCAGAAGCTTTCCGAGGCCAGGAGGCATTTCCTCTGTCTCTGACTCCCCCAAGACAACCATGCTGGCCACTGAAGGGGCACCACCATGGTGGCCACTTTAAGAAGCCCTCCACCAGGCTCCTTCTGAAAGGTCGCTGCCACTTCAGGAAAACTCTCTCAAGTTGAAAATGGACCCTCCTAGGAGACTCAGGCCCTCAGAGGAAGCGGGCCAGACGGAGCCAAGAATCAAAGCCTGTGCCCACAGCAGCCTGCGGACTCTTCCCCTGTGTGTGGACCTCAAAGCCCCTAAAGATGAATCGGGGACCCCATCTCGGGGGATGAGGGGCTTCTCTCCCTTCCACATCTCAGGTCGCTCAGCTCGCAGGCCCAGCCATGAAAAGCCCGAGATGTCGCCTGTCTACTGCGACTCCAATCCGAGGGAAATCTCAGGACAGGGGACTGGCCCAGTGACCAGACGTACAAAACGACCGGGTCACCACCAGCCCCCCGTCGGCCTGGGAGGCATCCATGCCGCGGGGCTGGGTGGGGGCCCAG